ATCCCACTAGTGGGGTTTGGGGAGGGTAGTGTGTACGCAGACCTTACCCTACCCCGAAGGTGTAGAGAGGCTGTTTCCGAAAGACTCTCGGCTCAAGAGGACAAAAGGACAAAAGGAGACAAAATCAGTAACACCACAGAAATAATAAGAAAAATAGGAAAAATAGGAACAACATGAAATTCAGAAGAAAGATACACAGCAAAAGCGAGATAGTATCTCTACCAAACTAATCCCACATAGTTATGACATAAGGCAAGACCCAACTACCTCCTAACCTACAACCCTAATACTCGACCTCCACATATTCCTATCAAGTGTCATGTCCTCGAAAATCTGAAGGCTCGCCATATCCTTCCTGATCACCTCCCCCCAATACTTCTTAGGCCGCTCTCTACCTCTTCTCGTGCCCTCCACAACCAGCCGTTCGCACCTCCTTATCGGAGCATCTGGGCTTCTCCTCTTAACATGCCTGAACCATCTGAGCCGCGCTTCCCGCATCTTGTCATCAATGGGGGCCACGCACACCTTCTCCCGAATATCATTATTCCTAATCTTATCCATCCTAGTATTCCCGCACATCCACCTCAACATCCTCATTTATGCTACCTTCATCTTCTCGATATGTGACTTCTTAACAGGCCAACACTCAGCCCCATACATCATGGCCAGTCTAACCACCACTTTATAGAACTTACCTTTGAGTATCAGTGGCACTCTCTTGTCACACAATACTCCAGAAGCTAACCTCCATTTCATTCATCCTACCCCAATGCGGTGTGTGACATCCTCGTCAATCTCCCCTCCCCCTGGATAACCGACCCAAGGTACTTGAAGCTGCCTCTACTCGGGATGACCTGTGATTCAAGCCTCACTTCCACACCCACTTCCCCTTGCTCAGCGCTGAACTTACACTCTAGGTATTCCGTCTTCGTCCTGCTAAGCTTGAAACCCTTAGATTCAAGAGCTTGTCTCAAACCTCCAGCCTCTCGTTAACACCGGCTCGCGACTTATCAATCAGAACTATGTCATCAGCGAATAGCATGCACCATGGCACATCCCCTTAAATGTGGTGAGTTAACGCGTCTATCACCAGGGCGAATAAGAACGGACTGAGCGCAGAACCTTGGTGTAACTCCATAGCAACTGAAAAATCCTCAGAATCGCCTCCTACCGTCCTAACCCGAGTCTTTGCCCCATCATACATATCCTTAATCGCCATAATATAGGGAACCGACACGCCTTTTGCCTCCAAGCTTCTCCAGAGAACTTCTCTAGGAACCTTGTCATATGCTTTCTCTAGGTCAATAAACACCATGTGCAGGTTTTTCTTCCTATCTATGTACTGTTCAACCAACTTCCTAACAAGGTGTGTAGCTTCTGTAGTAGAACGACCAGGCATGAACCCAAACTGGTTGTCGGAAACGGACACCGTCATCCTTAAAATGGTTGACCATTAAAATGTAATCTCATATAAAGAGTATAAATTTTCGTAAACTTAATTCTTAAAATGGTAAAAAAGATAACCTTCTTTTCTTGTAAAAATAATAATTCATATCTTTACAATAAAGAAAATCTCATAAACTTTTCTCATATTATGTGTATAATTTAAAACATATACGAAAGTAGTAATATTAATAACTATATAAAATTATTTTGTTCAAATCATTTTTTTTTTTACAAAAATGTTCCACTCAAAATACCATATTATATATATATATTATATATATATATATACTATATTATATGATATATAACGGTATCAAGGTTGTTAAACTTACGGGGCGTAACAAGTTCACAGGCCTCGAGAAGATTATTGCTTTCGCACAGAAGAAAGGCTGCATGCACCAATAATATTTTCATTTACTTTATTCTCTCAATTTATTTCCTTATTATTATTTGTTCCTTTTCCATATCGATTATACTTGCAAAAGTGAATCAAATCGGTTGTTAGAACCCCAAATTTTTTATTATAATTGCTTTGACTTCAAAATCTATTTTCTTGATTAAACACAGTCAAAATATCCTACTGTAATATTTTACCCTAAAAATTCGACTCAAAAGCACAAATTTTTTATAAACTCGCTTACTTACTATGACAAAGAAGCCAAAAAACATCACCTATCCCTTGCAAATCATATGCCGTCACAATAAACAACAGAGAGTAGTCTCACATACATAAAATTTACAAACAAATTGGGACTCTGAATAGAAAAAAATAACTTTAACTCCCAGAAACAAATTCATGTACCGCAAAAAATGTACCAAAGGCTTGCCCCTTGATGAAATATTTCACTAATTCGAACTTATTCATTCTAAAGATGAAGCAGAACTTTATTTGATTGTAATGCTTTCTTTTTCACGTTATGTTTGCTCTCTCTCTCCCTCCCCCTTCTGTTAGAGAGAAGTCTTGAATCAAGAAGCAAGTTCGTTTCTCTTTAACTTTGAAACTATAATTAGCTTTTAGTTTACTCAATTCAATGAATAAAACATAATCCAACAATTTGATATAGTCCTCTCTAGTCAATCATACTTGGTCAAACATTAATGGGATTTTTACCTTCCTATACCATATATGAAACCTTATTACCCTCAATGTTTAAGGTTTTAGTTAATTACATTTTAGCATACCAAATTATCATTTTTATACCATAATTCAAATTAGGGATATAATTAAGGGTTCATTTATATTAGGCATAATTATAGGACTTTATCTTCCCACTTTCTCTTTCCTTTCATCTCAATTGTTCACAACACACACACAACTCATGATGCTCCTATGCTTCCTCTCGTTGATCATCCCCAACTGCCCACCGCCTCTCAATTGTTATTAAGAATCGAAGAATATCATATTTTCAATTCACAAGAAAATATTAAATTCTTTGATCGAACCGCTTGAATTCCCACTGGAAATAATAATGGCAGAGAGTTCGAAATTTCAAACACAAATAGAAATCAAGCAACAAATGGCGGCGGCGAGATTCTCACTTTTTGATATCTGAATTTCTTTCGAGCTATGACATTTTGTATGGAGATCACTTCATGAATTGCCTATTCTTGAAACCCTATTTTTTTTTTTGGGATTTTTACATTCCTATGCTACATGGAAACCTTTGTAGTCTAACATTTTTTTCTAACATTAGATTCGTAGTTTAATTGTAGTATAAATGTAGTAATTTTGTAGATACCCTTAAAAACAATACAGCTTTATACAATACTAAAACTGATTTGTAGTTTATTTGTAGTTTTTTTTTTAGATAAATATAAGATTTTGTAGTCAACATTTTTTTTCAACATAGATCGTAGTTTAATTGTAGTATAAATGTAGTAATTTTGTAGATAACCTTAAAAACAATACAGCTTTATACAATACTAAAACTCATTTGTAGTTATTTGTAGATAAATGTAGGAATTTTGTAGATATTAACATAAAATCAGACTTCCTCTTCTCCATTCTTTCTTCTTCTCAAAAAATACAGAGATGAGACCCATTTTTTATAATCATATTTTTTCCATTCAATTGTAGCATGATTGGAATTTTGGACACGATTGAGTGTTGTTGCTGAGGTATTGTTCTATATTTTATTGTTTTTTCGATTTGTGTATTGAGAAAAAAAAGATGAAGAACAGATTTGATTTCAGTTTGTTGAAGCTTTTAGTCTTTTTTTTTTTTTAATTACGAAAAAAATTCCAATGGCTTTGCCTACCAATCAAATCTGATCTGGAGAAAAATACGCAGATGAGAAATCTCCTTTCCCTTTTTAAAAATTGAATTTAATGTAGAATCAATTAACACCAAGATTCTCTCCTTAATTTTAGCGCATTTTTTAGGGAATATTCTTCCCTTTTAATGCCTAATAGTCGAATGGTATATAAGTTGTAGTAAAAGTGTGGACTGGGCGGGTAATTAACAAACTATACACATTTAGGGTAATAAGGTTGCATATATGGTATAGTTAGGAAAAAATCCCAACATTAATTACCTACTTTTCATTTAGCTATAATATTTGGATCAGCCTGGCGTGAAGGGAAAGAAACAAAAATTAACTTAGGTCTATATTTAGACAATCATTATTGTTCCTAATTGTTTTAACATCTCATCAAGGCACTAAACTAGTGTAACTTCCTAATGAAGAAGGGATTCATGATGTCAGACTACATTATTCGTCTGGTATAAGGTGCAAGTTTTACAGCATATATAGAGCACAAATGATAAAATGCAATAACTTGCCAATCATATTATTAATGCAATAAAAATAAAGGCGAACCAACCGAGTAGTTAAGATCATTGAAATGTGGGAAAAATTAATTTTGCAAAGATATCTCTAGCTATTAGAATAAATTAAAAAACTAGCTAGTCATATATTGATAGAAATATAAAAAGGAGGACTAATCATATAATTTCAAGGATTTCCTAGTTATGGTATAATTTGAGTAAAGGGAAAATTGAGTAATCACAATATGAAAAATACCTTAAGAGAAGTGGTTCCTCGAAAACCCTCAGGCAGAGGCCGGCCGCCGGCCGCCGGTAACAAGTTGTTTAGACCTACACAACTGGCATTAGTCAAACAAATTGATGGCATAAATTAATAGAACACAAACCAAACAAAATAATCCAAATTCCATCTCTGAGTGGCTCGCCACTTTCTAAGACTTGTCATCTTATTTTTATTTATTTTTTAGCAATAGAACCCTTAATAATTATCTTTTTATTTGGATAATTTTCTTGGACCCCTAAAACTTTTTGACAATTTTAGGCACACCCTCCAAGTTTTGAGGATTAGTCTTTGAGCAGCTCAAAAATTTAGTTTAAGTGTATTAGGGTGAAGATTTACTTATTTCCTTTGCACATTTGTATTACTTGTTACTAAAAGTAGGCAACATTATGAAGTATCAAAAACCTAAGGGGGTTGAGTGAAATTATTTGCATTTATTTTAGCATTACTTTTGCAACTATAGTATTTTTCATCCAGACGCGTTTGTAACTGAAAAACCTACCACTCTCCCTCTGTCCCGCGACATTCTCTCCTACGATTTACCATAACAATTCTAACAAGAAATTAGTAAATGTAAAACCCCTAAACCAAAACCTTTCATCTCCAAAAAGAAAAGAAAAAAATTACTACGTAGCATTTATATACAAGTGGATAGCGAAAAGTTTTTCTTCTTCTTGGGTCACAGATAACGACCATTTCATCCAAATTCAAAATGTTAATTCCTTTTTCCTCTTTTCTTCCTAGACTGGGTTGCTCAAGTTTTCTTCTTTATTACTCAATTGGGGTTGCTCATTGAATTCGTGAAATACATTCCTCTTTTTACGTATTGAGTTGTTCTCAATAAATCTCTCATCTTTGTCTCTTCCTCTTCCTCATTTCTTGAATAACACTATAGCTCAGAAGTAGCTAAGGAATTTCATGGTATGTTATCCATTATTAATTCATGTTGTTTTTTTTGGTATGCTGCAGAACATTCATGCTGAACTTTTTGTTCTGAAAATTTTCCAACTTGTTTGCTGGTTATTCTTAATGTTATTTTATTTAGTAGTATGTATCTGTTGATTGCTAGAAAACCTTTTCCTTATTTTTGGGATTGATTGTGTGAAACACTGTTTCATAAGTCATGTTCGTTAATACGTAGACTCTCTTCACCCTTCATACCCTGCTTTCTCTTTCCCTCTTCTTTCTTTTTTTTAGTGTGATGACGTGTCATTTCGGTGCTGGAAATTTGACTTTCCGGTGAACTGTATTTTCTAAAAGATTACAACATAGTTCAGTGATTTTAATGATACAAAAAATAGTTTTGTTGATTTTACTGATGCGACGAGTAAACTTAAGTGACCATGTGTGAAATCAACCCTCAACTTTTGTAGTACCATTTATTTGGAATTAGTAAGTTTCTGGAGTTTAGGGTAAGGCTGCGTACCTTGTGGTCCGGCTCTTCCCCGGACCCCGCGCATAGCGGGAGCTCAGTGCACCGGACTACCCTTCTGTAGTTGAAATTTTAAGCCAAATTTGCGTTGATGTTGACACTTAATTGGTATCTACAAATTTTTGAAGTTGGACTTTACAAGGAAATGACCTTTACAGGGTCAAGGATTTTAGTTTTGAAGTGTGTGAAGCATGTAGTGATGTTGACTTTCATTTTCTTCATTTGTTATTTGAGTAGGTCATACTTTTGAACAAGCCATCATATTCATGGTTTACTGCTTCAAATGCAGAGGAGAGAAATGGGGTTGAGTTTGGTTTTTAATGTTTGAGCTCAAGTGTGAATAGCAATTAATTTGCAGATACTGGTGGAGAAGTGATAGATGGGGAACAATTGTGTTCATGCAAAGGATGGATTCTTCAGCTCCATTTGGTGGTCGCGATCACCGGATATGATCACATATAAGAAAAAGGAAAGCAATTCCCGGACATCTACTACAGAGAAAGAGCCTGAAGATCCTAATTCTGTTCAGAATAAGCCTCCTGAAATGGTGAAGATAGAGAGTAAACAGTCCGAGCAGGTGATCATCATCGTAAAGGATGAGATGAAAGATGCACGGGTGGAAGACATGATGAAGATAAAAGTTGATTTGAAACCTGCACAAATGTTGGGGGGATCTGAAAAGGCTAAGCCGGCAGAGGCTGCAAAAGCGAGGAAGCCTCACAATGTGAAGAGGATGGAAAGTGCAGGACTCCAGGTTGATTCTGTATTGAAAACCAAAACTGGTCATCTAAAGGAGTACTATAATTTGGGGGAAAAGCTCGGACATGGCCAATTTGGTACCACATTCCTATGTGTAGAAAAGGCGACAGGAAAGAAGTATGCTTGTAAATCTATTGCAAAAAGGAAGTTGTTGACAGATGAAGATGTGGAAGATGTAAGGAGAGAAATCCAGATCATGCATCACTTGTCGGGGAATCCTAACGTCATTTCAATCAAAGGGGCTTATGAGGATGCTGTGGCAGTTCATGTCGTGATGGAATTATGTACCGGAGGTGAACTCTTTGATCGGATTGTTAAGAGGGGGCATTACTCCGAGAGACAGGCTGCTGAGCTTTCAAGAACAATAGTTGGTGTGGTAGAAGCTTGCCACTCTCTTGGAGTCATGCACCGGGACCTTAAGCCTGAAAATTTTCTATTTATCAATGAGGACGAGGATTCACCTCTTAAGACTATAGATTTTGGGCTATCTGTATTCTTCAAGCCAGGTATCTCTTCATTTCCCTTCATATTCTTTCATTTTATTTCCATACATTTTTGGTTGCATCGAAATAACCACTTCTTCTGCAAATAGAGCTGGACTTCAACGAATTTGTAGATTGAAGTAGCTAGGAATTAGAAATGTTTCATGTGTTTCAGAGTCTGTATTTTGAGAAACTTTTTCACATCATATCTTGTTATTTTCCTTTACAACTTGAATCTACAGTTTCAGTTTCTGTTGTTTACCAGAATGGTTTACAGCAAATGAAAAAAGATCAGGAAAATTGATAAAAGAATACTTAGCTAGTACATACAATTTAGATCTGCTCTTGTAATCTACGGAGAGACACACACAATGCCAATAATGTAGAAGGATAATTGAGGATATCTGTTCTTGATGTAATAAAAGGCAATGCATGCTTAGCTGATAATTGCAACTACCCCTGGAGTGCATGTAACTTACTAGTGATCATCGAACTGTCATAAAGTAATCTAAAAATCCAATATTTGTAGATTATTGTCAAGTCTAAGATGCAGTGCAATGGTGAGGGATCTGATTACTCTAATTGAGCAATACTGTGACTAACTTTATTGAAATGTTCAGTTTTTACGGATCAATTACTCCAATCTACAAACTTATAAAGCTCCAAATTCATTTTACGGATCTTTCTTCTTTATAATTCTTTAGTAGGAAAAGTGATGCAGATTTCAAGAGCTTATGGATTAAAAATTTGTAAACTTTTTTCCTTGTATACTAGTCCATTTGATCAGGAATATATATTTCAAGTATCAGTTATTTTTCACACAATTCTAAAACTATCTACACGATATGCTTTCTGGCATTACCTTGGTTTCTTTCCTTATGCACGTCGGTTTTACAGTGTCTAGATCATTGATTTAAGTTATGGACCACAGGGAAAATATTCGATGATGTTGTTGGAAGCCCTTATTATGTTGCTCCAGAAGTTCTGCGTAAGCGTTATGGTCCAGAGGCTGATATCTGGAGTGCAGGTGTTATAATTTACATTCTTCTAAGCGGCGTTCCTCCATTTTGGGGTGGTAAGCTGATCTTTTAATGTCTTGTGAGATGCCACATTTTCATAAGTTTATGCTGTATGAAGTACGGAATGAACTTCTCATTCTTCTTTTGATATTTGGACAGAAAGTGAGCAGGAAATATTTGATGAGGTTTTACATGGTGATATAGACTTCGAATTGGATCCTTGGCCTAAAATCTCTCAAGGTGCAAAGGACTTGGTTCGGAGAATGCTTGTCAGAGACCCCAGAAAGCGACTAACAGCACATGAAGTTTTATGTGAGTCATCATTTATCTTAACTTTTGTATTCAGAATGTAGCTAACTATAACTCTGAGGACAACTATTTCGCTTCAGAAGCAGGAGAATATAATACTTAGATCCTCCTTCTGTTTGTCCGATAAATGTGAGCCTTTTAAGTCTTAACAGTGGCGAAGCCAGGAAATTCAACAAGGGAGTTCAATACAGGGCGGATGCTTTGGCATTGAACTTTCGGAAGTTTCCTTTTTGTTATTCTTATATCTCCTTTTGCAGGTCATCCTTGGGTGCAGATTGATGGTGTGGCCCCAGATAAGCCTCTCGATTCTGCAATATTTACTCGTTTAACACAGTTTTCTGCTATGAACAAGTTGAAGAAAATGGCTATCAGGGTAGGTTATCCTTAAATGCTATAACCAGACAAAAAAACTAATGTAATTTCTACTTAAAATTGCAGTAAAATGCTACAACTTGTACAGTTACATGGAAAGTTGAGTTAGTTATTGTTTTTCTTCTAATTTTTATAGTTATACATGTCTTCTAAAATGAAGTTCTATTTATGCAGGTTATTGCAGAGAAACTTTCTGAAGAGGAAATCGCTGGCTTGAAAGAGATGTTCAAAATGATTGACACAGATAACAGTGGCCAAATTACTTTCGATGAACTAAAGATTGGATTAAAGAAATTTGGAGCTAATCTTAATGAATCAGAGATACACGATTTGATGAAGGCTGTAAGTAATAGGCATCTCTTTTTCCTTCTAGTGCTTAATGTCGTGTCATCGACTTCTTATTTTCATACTGGAGGGTTCTTTTCTTCATATTTCAAAAAGGAAGTGCAAAATTCACCAATTTTAACGCCTAAAAGTTTGAATTATAAAGCTGCATCACACAGTTTTAATAATTTTTGTGACAGATTTGCATTAATAAATCTTGAAGATGATAAAACTTATGCAGAAATTTATAGTTTATAAAGATGATGTTATGAGCAGTTTAACTTTAGCTAATATCTAAGAACTTCACAAGTGTGTGTGTGTGTACTGTGTAGGCAGTCTTCATTAGATAACATAATACATCTCTTTCATTATATTTAGCTTCAATCTTCTGTTGAAAATGCAGGCAGACATTGACAATAGTGGAACGATTGACTATGGGGAGTTTGTAGCTGCAATGTTGCACGCCAACAAAATCGAGAAGGAAGATTATTTGTTTGCAGCCTTTTCATATTTCGACAAAGATGGGAGTGGTTATATTACAGCTGATGAGCTTCAAAAGGCTTGTGAAGAATTCGGCATTGAGGATGTTCACTTGGAAGAAATGATTCAAGAAGCTGACCAAGACAATGTAAGTTGCCTCCTCTGCCATTTCTTTACTCCAGAAATTGTTTTTAACAATTATGAAACTTGTATTACTCCCTCGGGCCCACAATAAGTGACCAACTTGTATTACCTATACAGAAACACTATAGGTAAGCTTCTAAATTATGCATAGACATAGGGCCAGTTGTAGAGTTTGGTGGCCCAAAATGATGAGCACACTAAGTGTTGGACAGTCCGACAATGAAGCCGATTATTAGGCCATAGTCAAAGTTCATAAAAAAACATATGCATAACATAGTATTCAGGCTTTGGAGCCTTCATGCTTCGCTGGACTATAAGGCTCCAAGTGCTGGATCCAACAGTGGGTTCAGCATAACATAGTATTCAGGGTCGAACCTTATGTATATGCCAGAAAACAGTATAGTTAGAGTTAGACACAAAGTTCAAAACCCTTAGCGTCTAAATTCTGAATCCGCCACTGACTGCTCATTGATACTTCCGTCCTTTTTACTGGCATTAATTCTTGTTCTGTTATTAGTACAACTGACTATCTTGTAATCTTTCAGGATGGTCGGATAGATTACAATGAGTTTGTGGCCATGATGCACAAAGGAAATGCAGACTTGGGTAAGAAACGGTTGCCAAATAATTTTAACATCGGATTTAGGGAGGTATTGGAGGTCTGCTGATACCTTTTGTAATTCTTCTTTTCTGTCTTGTATTCTCCTTGTAATAATATGTATAGAAGTGTAACAGATTTAAGTATCATTTGATGCTGGCACATATCAAATGCCATCTCCCTTTCATGTAGTCTGGAGCTGTGGCTTATTTGCTTGCCACTTCAGTGTTTACTCCTAAAGATAAAGTATTGAAATGAAAACTATAGGATGTAATATATTTCAAAGGAAGCAAGATAATGGTTGTTACCATTTCTACTTTGCCCTTTTTTATTTGTTGTTGTATTGAATATCTTCAACAGACTGTACTTTAACCTTCTTTATACTCCATTATCTTATTTCCCATATTTGTGGAGCCTCTTTATGTCAATTACAGTCAGACCTCTCTATAACAACATCTCTATATAACAACACTTCACTATAAAAGCTAAACTTTTTCGGAACCAATTTTCATGTTACGTTATAATATATGGTCTCTATAACAACACTTCACTATAACAACCAAAAATATTCGGAACAAACAAGGTTGTTATAGAGAGGATTGATTGTATAACCAGATAGTTTGCTTTTTGTTATGTTGGAGTTACTTGACGATTGGGCCAACACAACAGCTGGAGCACTTGGGCCTAGCCCATTATTTATTTGTATCAGCTTTATTTTCTTTTTTTAATTCTTACACTGTAAAGGCCCAAATATAAATAGGGGCACAATGACTTCTAGACCATTCTTTTCATTTTTCAGTCTTGGTTAATACAACAGAAGATATTTTCCTCTCTCATACGGTTTTCTCCTTTTCCTTTTCCTTATGAACCCTAATAAAAAATATGTATGCTTATGTTGATTTCTACTCTTAACATGGTATCAGAGTGGGTAATCTGGTAGTCCCCGTCGTTCTACATCGACCGATGCTACCCTCGTTCAATTTCATCGAGTTTATCATCACTGTTTCGATTTTCGCCGAGTTTCAGAATTTGAAGTTTTTGGTTGATTTTTGTTCAATTTTCGAATTGAGGAAGGTTCCTCGACTGTGTGATCCTTTTTGGTCGGAATTTGCTGCCGATTATCGGATTTATATTGTTCTTCGTCAAAGCTAGGGTTTCCGGTGATTAACGGAGTTCTGTTAGTCTTCGCAAGAGCTAAAGCTTTCCTTTCAAGTTGAAGTTTTTTTTTCTCAAGGCCTTTCTTTTTCAGGTTGCGAAGAACTATGGTACACTCGTTCTGAAAGCATATGGAAACAATTGAATAATAGGTATGGGACTGTTAATGGAACTAAAGTGTTTGAAATAAAGAGAGATCTTGCATCTACTTATCAAGGGACTCTCGACATAGCTTCATATTTTAACAAACTTAAAAAACTCTAGGACGAATTGGGGGTTATGTGTACCAGCCATGCAAATTCTTGTGTTTGTGCTGCTAAGGAAGGTCTCTAGAAGGAGAAGGAAGAGGACAGGGCTCATCAATTTCTTATGGGTCTAAATGAGGGTTATGTGGGGGTTAGGAGCAATATATTGATGATGCAACCATTGCCATCCCTTGATGTTGTCTACAACTTTTTGTTGCAAGATGAAAAACAGAGACAGGTTGTCACCAATACCCAATTTGACTCAGAATCAGCCTCTTTTAATGCAAATTCCAACATTAACAGATTCCCTTCTCAACTCTCATCTACAAAATAATATACACAAAGGGTGAACTTTGATTCAAGCAACCAAAAATCCAATACTACTTTGTCTTGCAAGTATTGCAAGAAACCTGGTCATACAATTGAAAAATGCTACAAATTACATGGTTTTCCACCAAATTTCAAATTCACAAAGGGTAAAAAGTTTGGTACTGGTGCAAGTGCTGAGGGGCAGCTTTCTGAATCTTCTGCACTGTATTCTCCAACTGATCAAAGCTCTTTGATCCCAGGTCTTACCAAAGAGCAGTACTCCCAGTTGATGCAGTTGCTCAATCAGTCTACATTGGGTGATTCAGGGACTCAACCTGTTCTAATGGGATCTGCCAATTTTGCTGGTAGTACTTCTTCTCTTCCTGTGTGTTTAAATGGTAGTTCTACTGTGTGCATGTTGACTAGTGTAGCTGGAAGAGTTTGGATAGTGGATTCAGGGGCAACTGACCACATGACTTCAAATAAGGACCTCCTTTTTAATATTACACCCCTTCCTGTTCCTAACTTAGTTTCTCTACCTAATGGTTATAAAGTTAAGGTAACCTGTACAGGTTCTCTCACTTTGTTACCATCTTTCACTTTACACAATGTATTGTACATTCCATCTTTCCATTACAATCTAATTTCTATGAGTAAGATAATAACACAATTCAATTATTATGTGTTATTCACTTCTGTTTCTACCTAATGGTTATAAAGTTAAGGTAACCTGTACAGGTTCTCTCACTTTGTTGCCATCTTTCACTCTACACAATGTTTTGTACATTCCATCTTTCCATTACAATCTAATTTATGGAGCTTGGTAGAATGGACCAAGGATTATGCAAATTTCACTTCAACCATTCTGCTCCTCCCATGTCACCTGATAATTTTGTTTCTCTTTTCAATAATGTAGTGCACAATGCTGAATCTTCTTTGCATACAAATGTTCAAAATGTGAGCCACAATTCTGCTTGTACTTTACCTTGTGGTACTGTTCAAACTGTACAAACTGAGAATCCATGTTATGTTTCTACTTTACCTTCTTGTACTGTTCCAAATAATGTTAATAAAAATGATGTTCTTTGGCATCACAGATTGGGGCATGTTCCTTTTGTTCAAATGAAATATATATTTTCTATCTCTAATGACTTGTCTGCTAAGCAGTCCTTTATTTGTCCTATTTGTCCTTTAGCTAGACAACCTAGGTTATCATTCCAGTTAGTTCTTCTATTTCCACTTCATTATTTCAACTTATTCATGTTGACACTTGGGGACCATACCACACCCAATCTTACTCTGGAGCAAAATATTTCTTGACAATAGTTGATGACTATAGCAGAGCAACATGGACACACCTTTTACACTCCAAGAGCTATGCCTTCACCTTCCTTAAATCCTTCATAGCCATGGTAAAGACACAGTTTCACCTTTCTGTCCAAAAGGTTAGAAGTGATAATGCCTTGGAACTTGGTTCCTCCAATACAGCTATTCAATTCTTTTCTGATAATGGTATCATACATCAAACAACTTGCCCACACACACCACAACAGAATGGTGTGGTAGAGAGGAAACATAGACATCTACTAGAAACCTCAAGAGCTTTATTGTTTCAATCCAATCTTCCTACCAAGTTCTGGGGAGATTGTGTTTTAACAGCAACCTATCTCATTAATAGATTTCCCTCTAAAGTTTTATCCAATAAGACTCCATTTGAATTACTTTATGGGACTGCTCCTTCTTATTCTCATTTAAAACCTTTTGGCTGCCTCTGCTATGCTAGTGTTCCCAAGTGTCGTAGAGATAAGTTTCAACCTAAAGCATCTCCTTGTGTTTTCATTGGCTATCCTTTCTTCTCCTTCTCATCTTTCTCCTCCAATGACTTCCTTTTATGACTCTACTCCTGATCCCCCTCTCCCTATTTCTCAAATACTTGACACTCCTGATGTTCCCAACTCTGTCCACACCACTGCTGCTCCTACTCACACTCATCCTACTGTTTCTATTGAATCAGCAATTCCTCCTGTTCCTGAAGTCCGAAAAAGTTCCAAAACCCATCAGCTCCCTACTCACTTGAAGGATTATGTGGTCCAGCTCCTTTCATTTGCTTCCTGTTCTTCTTCTTCACTCATGTCTACTGCAGTAGAACCTCATTCTTACACTCAGGTTGCTGCTATTCCTGCTTGGCAAGAGGCCATGAGGAAAGAATTTGAGGCCCTAGATGCAAACCAGACTTGGAAAATTGTTGAACTACCTCCTGGGAAGAAGCCTATAGGGTGTAAGTGGGTGTATAAAATTAAATACAAAGCTGATGTCAGTGTGGAGAGATACAAAGCTAGATTGGTGGTTAGAGGTGATACTCAGGTGGAAGGAATTGATTACAATGAAACTTTCTCTCCAGTTGTTAAAATGTGCATTATTAGGTGTGTAATTGCTGTAGCTGTCAAAAAACAATGGCCTTTTGTTCAGTTGGATGTTAATAATGCATTTTTGCATGGGGATCTAGATGAAGAAGTTTATATGAAACTTCCTCAAGGTCTTTCTGTTGCTTCTACTTCTTTTGTTTCTTCTGGGTTTCCTACTTTGGTATGCAAATTGCAAAAGTCTCTTTATGGCTTGAGACAGGCTTCTAGGCAATGGTACGCCAAGCTGCCCCATGTACTCTACTCTAGGGGGGTATAATCACTCATTGAATGACTACTCCTTGTTCATTAAGAAAGCTAACTGTTGTACTACTCTTATAGATGTTTATGTGGATGATATTATTGTGATTGGTGATGACTTGGATGAAATTTCTGCTCTTAAAGCTTTCTTGGATGCTCAGTTAAAAATTAAGGACTTGGGGTTGCTTAACTATTTCTTGGGTATTGAGGTCTGTTATCGTCAGTCAGGTATTCTTTTGTTTCAGAAAAAGTTTATCTCTGATTTGTTATCAGAATACAAATGTGCAGATGTTTCTCCTGTTGTTAGTCCTTTGGACATGAACCACAAGTTACATTCTGATGTTGGGGAGCTACTGCCTCAACCTGAAAGCTATAGGAGTCTAGTTGGGAAACTAAATTTTTTGACCCACACTAGACCAGATTTATGCTTTGCTATCCAACATTTAAGTCAATTTTTACAGCGACCTAGAGTTCCACATATGACTGCCGCTTTACATGTATTGAGATACTTAAAGGGCACTTCTGATTTGGTGTCTTATTAAATAATTCTATTGATTTGTCTTTGCTGGCCAGTTGTGACAGTGATTGGGCAGCTTGCCCCCGAGTCTAGGCGCTCAGTTTCTGGTTTTTGCATTCAGTTAGGTGGTAGTCTCATCAGTTGGAAGTCTAAAAAGCAGCACATTGTTTCCCTGTCCTCCGCTGAGGCAGAATACAGAGTCATGAGTAAGGTGGTAGCTGAATTAGCATGGTTAGTCCGCCTGTTATCTGATTTGGGTCTCACTGCTGCTCTCCTGGTTCCTATTTTGTGCGACAACCAGGCTGCTTTTCATATCGCCAAGAACCCGGTGTTTCATGAGCGTACCAAGCACATCAAAGTCGACTGCCATTTCATTTGCACTAAGTTGGCAGATGGTCTTATCTCTTTGTCCCATGTTTCTACTAGTTCCCAACTAGCTGATATCTTTACTAAACCTTTGACAGGTCTACACCATCGCCAGTTGATTGGCAAGTTGGGCGTGTGTCCACCCTCCAACTTGAGGGGGGATGTTGGAGTTACTTAACGATTGGGCCAACACAACAACTGGAGCACTTGGGCCTAGCCCATTATTTATTTGTATCATTTTCTTTTTTTGATTCTTATACGGTAAAGGCCCAAATATAAATAGGGGAACAATGACTTCTAGACCATTCTTTTCATTTTTCATTCTTGGTTAATACAACAGAAGATATTTTCCTCTCTCATACGATTTTCCTCTTTTCCTTTTCCTTATGAACACTAATCAAAAATCTGTACGCTAATGTTGATTTCTACTCTTAACATGTTAAACTAAGTTATTTAACCACTTGCTGGACTCAACTGGTTAATTGTTGATAAATCAATAATAGTAGTTTGATTCGCACTTGTCGAAGGTCATTATTATACATAACCGTGTAAAGACTATTTAGAAATTAAGATGACTAAATTATGGAAATGACTGATCTTTCTGTATAACAAGTAAGAATCAGTTTTTTGTTGGAGGAATTTAGAGAATAAAAATTATGCAAATTAGTCAACTTGATAATGTAAATCCGAGTGCATATCCTGCTTTAATTGCACTTTCAACCTAATTTAGCTTACAGTTGGCCCAAAACCTTTCTAATCAAAGTGATAAACTAAAAGAAATCGTGATGATAAAGTTGGGTCCAACCTAGTTAATTAAGGAGAAAAGGAAAGTCATCATCTTTGGAAAGGATAAGTTTATTTTTTAGTACTGACAATTTATACTAATTGCAATATTTGTAAGACAGCCTTAATTTTTGGTGGCGTAGTGGCAACCTATGTTCTCTACGTATCACAACTTGTTTGTCATTCTTACGTAAGTAAATTAAACGTACACAAAATCATAGTATTAGCACGTGTATGTATTTATGTATCATTGTATTGTAGATGTGTAGATGATATATGTAGATGATATATAGTATAAATAGGGGTAGATACATTGTAATAGTTAGTTAGTTCATTTTCCTGTATTTTGTTATTTTTAATTGTACAAAATACTTCAATTCTCTTTCTAATGAAGACTAAGAAAAGCCTTCTAGAAGCTTCATCTCTCACAGCTCCTCTCAACCGCCATTAGAGCTCATCCAAGGTGAGCTGTTCTTCTCAATCTCTTCCACTGTTTTTGACATAGTATCAGAGCTTGGCTCTTGACTTCAAACTCAATCAGTCATCTCTTTCTCCTATTCGAGCATAGTCTCTCATTTTTCACTCCTTTTGTGCGAACATCAATTTCCACTTCGATTCTTCAATTGGGTCCTCGATAATCATGGTTGAAACTGAGAACACGACGAATTCCATGAATATAGCTCTAGATTCGACTAGTCCGTTGTACATGCACCCCTCTGAGAGTGCTGGATATGTACTGGTACCGACGATTTTTGACGGATCAGGATATAGATCGTGGAGGAGAGGAGTTCTAAGAGCTCTCTCAGTAAAGAATAAAGTAGGGTTCATAAACGGAAAATGCGAAAAGCCACAACCTCAGGATCCTAAGTATGATCAATGGGAACGCTGTGACGATATGGTCACATCGTGGATCCTAAATTCCATCTCGAAGGATCTGGCGGATAGTTTACAGTATGTCAATGATGCTCAGGAACTTTGGAAGGAACTTGAAGACAGGTACGACCAGACGAATGGGGCAAAATTGTACCAACTACAGAGGGAGATAAATGAACTGAGCCAAGGAACCCTAGATATCACGGGGTACTATACTAAGATGAAGAAGCTTTGGGAAGAATTGAACGCACTAAATGCACATGCCCAATGCAAATGCAACTGCACATGTGGTGCTAAAGCCAACATGCAGAAAGCAGAACAGGACAGAAGATTAATCAAATTCCTAATGGGGCTGAATAAAGTCTATACTGTGGTTAGGGGCAGCATTTTGATGATCAATCCGCTACCTTCACTTGCACAAGCTTTTTCAATCCTCATCCAAGAAGAAAAACAAAGAGAGGTTAAACCAAACATTCAATTGGTGATAAAATACACTGCCTTGAGTGCTAACAGATCAGGAGGAAATCAGTTCAGGACAAATTTTGGTTAGCATACAAATTTTGGGGATAACCCTGGATATGTGAACTTTAATCAGCAAGGCAATAGAGTTGGAAGCAGCAACTATAGAGGAGGACACCTTGGGAATAGGCCACGAACCTTTTGTGATCACTGTAAGAGACAAGGCCACACTAAGGAAAGGTGCTACAAGTTACATGGGTACCCACAGGATCCAAGGCTCAATAAGGGGAAGAGAATTGCTGCTAATGTACATGGAGGACAGAGAGACAATGTCATAGAAGGTGCAGATGGAAGCAATGGTGCAGCAAATGAACAAGATAGGACCATGCAAGCTCTCACTAAGGAACAGTACAACTAATAAGTGAGCATCCTGGAGAATTTTCATACTGGAAGTGGAGGAAATGAGCTGAAAGGAGGAGCTGTGAACTTTGCAGGTATTTCAGCTTGCTCGACTCATTTTGATTCTGGTTCTGATTCGTATGAATGTTCTAGATCTATTGCTGACTCTTGGATACTTGATTCTAGGGCATCAAACCATATGACCTATAATAAATCCATGTTACTAACATAAAGACCTTAGTCTATCCTTTTCTAGTCACTTTACCCAATGGTTATAAGGTGAAGGTTACACTAATGGGAGATGTAGTGATGAGTCCTAAGTTCACTCTGAAGAGAGTCCTCTTTGTCCCTAGTTTCAAGTTCAACCTAATCTCAGTTCATTGTCTAACAGTTCAATTTGATTGCTTTGTCATATTCACCAAATTTGTTCGCATCCTTCTGCAGGCCCCTTCACTGAAGAGGCCTCTGGCAATTGGTGAAAGTAAGGATGGTCTATATCTTTACAAAACAGAATCCTGCAAACTCAACAATCCAGATTCCTGCAAGTTTAATTCTTTAGTGTCTGATAATTCACATAGTGCATCAAATAAAGGTGATGTAGTCACTCAGTCTCCTTCATCTAGTGTAACCAGTGTTAGTAGCACTAGTTCTCATCCTATCTCACATGCTGTATCTAGCTTACACAATTCTGTTTCTCCTGCTTTGATCAATTCACACACCTGTTCACATGAATGTAATAAAGTTTCCACCAACTCTTATGTGCAATCTAAGGGAACTGCTAGTTCTACATGTAATACATCCATGAATGATAAATACATGATTGATCTTTTGTGGCATAATAGATTGGGACATGTACCCTTTGTCAAAATGAGAGGGATTGAATCTATACCCTTCCATTATCTGTCCAATTTGTCCAATGGCTAGACAGAGTAGGTTACCTTTCTCAGAAAGAACCACAACAACAACCAAAATATTTAAAATCTTGCACATTGACCTATGGGGCCCTTATCATGTGCCAACACATGACAAGAAAAAATACTTTATTACCTTGGTAGATGATTACAGTAGATGTACTTGGACTCATCTGCTTAGTTGTAAGAGCAATGCCTTACAAATAATCAAAGCCTTCTCTACCATGGTGAAAAATCAATTCAATTGCTCCATTAAGACCATCAGAACAGACAATGGCCTTGAATTCATAAACACTGAAACCACTTCATTCCTACAGTCTGAGGGGATCATACACCAGAAAACAAGCCCCTACACTCCTCAACAAAATGGCATAGTGGAGAGAAAACACAAATACCTCTTGGAGACAGCCAGAGCCTTGTTATATCAGTCCAAACTTCCCATACAGTACTGGGGAGAATGTATACTCACCTCAACCTATTTGATTAACAGACTTCCCTCTGCAACTCTCAGAAACAAATGTCCACTAGAACTGCTATACCAAACAAAACCTAAATACTCACATCTTAGAAGTTTTGGATGCCTTTGCTTTCCCACAACTTTAAAGACTCACAAAGACAAATTTGAATCCAGATCCTCACCTCATGTCTTTGTGGGATATCCCTTTGGGACAAAAGGTTACAAAGTGCTCAATCTAGTCATAAAGAGAATTCATGTTGCTAGAGATGTTGTATTTCATGATAATGTATATAAATATCACGAGTCATCTTTTGTCCCTTCTTCTCCTAGTGTGAGTCTCCCAACAGTGTCACCTGATCCTTCACTACCAGGGGTAAGTCAGACTAGTCCTCAAACAACCTCAAGTTCAGAGGAAAATTTCATTTTTTCTGATAACTATGATAACCTACCCAATGATATCCCTAACTCATCAACACAAGAATCTAATGAAAATCCAGGAAGACCATCCAGAGCCATCAAAACCCCTACTTACTTAAAAGACTACAACTACTCTCTACCCAAGTTGAAAACAAGTGATCCTAACTCTCCTTCTTGTAGCAACCAAAGCACAACCTCACTTTCCTTCAATGCATCTATACCCAATGCCCAATGTATTTCTCTCTATGCATTAAGTTCTGAAAGTCAGCAATTGATCAGACTCATTTCTCATGAGACTGAACCCAGATCATATGAGGATGCAATTGCTGATCCTGCCTGGCAAGTAGCCATGAATCAGGAATTTGAAGCTCTTTATGCCAATCACACTTGGAGCCTTGTCCCTCTTCCACCAGGTAAGAGAGCAATAGGATGTAAATGGGTTTATAAGGTGAAACATAAGGCAGATGGGAGTGTAGAGAGACTAAAAGCAAGACTAGTGGTGAAGGGCTATACTCAAGAAGCTGGGGTAGATTATACAGAAGCTTTCTCACCAGTAGTTAAAATGACAACTGTTAGGACTCTAATTGGAGTAGCAGTAAAGAAGGGCTGGAATATTTTTCAATTAGATGTGAATAATGCTTTCCTTCATGAAGACCTCCATGAAGAGGTTTACATGGAAGTACCTCAAGGTCTAGTTGTTGATAGGTCAGATTTAGTGTGCAAATTGAACAAGTCCTTGTATGGCTTGAAACAAGCAAGTAGGCAATGGTATGAGAAGCTAACTGAAGCTCTCTGTTCCAAAGGATACACACAGTCTCTGCTAGATTATTCTCTGTTCTACAAAAATAATGGAGGTTCAATGGTGTTTGTAGCTGTCTATGTAGATGATATCCTGGTAACAGGGACTGATTTGGAAGAAATAGGTGCTCTAAAGAGGTACCTACATGAAACTTTCAGAATAAAAGACTTAGGCAGATTACACTATTTTCTGGGCCTAGAAATTCTATACAAAGATAATAGGGTATTAATATCACAAAGGAAGTTCACAATGGATCTCCTGTCAGAATTTGATTGTATGAAGTATTCAGCATTAACCTCTCCATTGGATCCCTCAACTAAGCTAAGTGCAAATGAAGGGCCCCTGCTACCTGATCCCTCACATTTCAGGAAGCTAGTGGACAAGTTGAACTACCTAACCAATACCAGACTTGACATATCATATAGTGTGCAATGTTTGAGCCAGTTTATGCAAAACCCTAGCGAACCACACCTGAGAGTTGCTTATCATGTACTGAGATACCTCAAAGGTGATCCAGACTTAGGAATCTTTCTGTCCGATAATAATGACTACAGCATTCAAGCATTTTGTGACTCAGACTGGGCAGCCTGCCCTGATTCAAGGAAGTCAGTCAGTGGCTATGTTGTGCTACTAGGGGATGGTCCAATCAGCTGGAAATCAAAGAAACAGCAGACCATATCACTATCCTCAGCAGAAGCAGAATATAGAGCTGCTAGACAAGTTGTGAGAGAGTTAGTTTGGCTGCTCAGATTACTTGGAGAGTTGGCAGCTCCCTTGAAGCTACCGGTTCCAGTCTTTTGTGATAGTCAAGCAGCACTTCACATAGCCAAGAATCCTGTATTCCACGAACGCACTAAACACATAGAGGTGGACTGTCACTTTGTACGTGATCAAGTGCACGAAGGGACCATTACATTACATCACATTTCCACAAATGATCAACTGGCAGACATCTTCACTAAGCCACTCACGGGAGTAAAACATTGGAATTTACTTAGCAAGTTGGCTGTGAGTCCCTCCCTTCCAACTTGAGGGGGGGGTATTAGCACGTGTATGTATTTATGTATCATTGTATTGTAGATGTGTAGATGATATGTGTAGATGATACATAGTATAAATAAGGGTAGATACATTGTAATAGTTAGTTAGTTCATTTTTCCTGTATTTTGTTATTTTGTAATTGTACAAAATACTTCAATTCTCTTTCTAATGAAAACTAAGGAAAGCCTTCTAGAAGCTTCATCTCTCACAGCTCCTCTCAACCGCCATTACAGCTCATCCAAGGTGAGCTGTTCTTCTCAATCTCTTCCATTGTTTTTGACAAAACTCAATGCATATTACGTAAATCTTTTTATTTGTTTCTAAGACTCAATTACCCTAGAAATAACATGATAAAAAGAGAAAATTTTAGTGGGCTGCTATTTGTCAACTAATGAACTAATTTAGTTGGCTAGAATTATGCATATCAAGAGTGGCTCAATCATTAACCAAACAGTTGACTACTAGAAATTATGAAGGGCTAATGTGGTGGTTTATTGACCTTTAAAATGGTTGAGGAAACTTATATAATGGGTTTAATAGGCTCCAATTAATTATACCAAAGATGTCTAACTGGATTCTGTTGGAACACTATCTGCTAACTAAAAGTAATCTTATAAAGATTATTTAATTTTATTAGAATCAAATTTTAGATCACCTACTGCATCTTATTTATTACTACTAACTATTTCCAAAAAAAAAAAAATGAAACAAAAGAATTGATATTTTGATTAAGTACATTTTGCTTCATGTAATAAATATATCACAACTAGTAAGTTCTCTTTTTCAGACTCCTTTTTTAGATTTTTACACAAATAACCGGCAAATTTGTTATTTATGCACTTAGTATATACGGTGATATTCTTTTTCAAACTTGAAGTGGATTGTTTTTCTTGAGCCGATGATGCGAGGTACGATTAAGGTTTGAGTGCATATTATCCTTTTCGGACTTCACATTGTGGGAGTATATTGGATATGTCATCGTTGTTGTTACTATATACTTATGCACACACACTCTCTCTCACACAGACACACACACTCTCTCTCTCTTACACACATATATGTATTACACCCACCAGCTATTTTTAATTTGCGATCTTAATACAAATAGCCGGCCATATTTACCATTTATTTTTTCTAGCTATATACATAGATTATACGTTGATTGTATCTAATTATACATATATTATATCTCCATCGGCTATTTCTAATTTAAATGGTTGGGTGTACGGCTATTTAGGCCAATTCTTCTTTTAATTTTAATAGTAGATGAACAAATATTTAGGTTAATTCTTCCTTCTTTCTTTTTTTGGTCACTGAGGTTATTAAAAGCTCTTAATTCTTGAATTCCAAAAGCTAAACTAGCTACCACATCAAAGTAATTCTCAACCGTCAAT